GTAGGGGAGGAGAGGGCAGGGGGGGGGGGAGGGCGACCAATCAATCAATCATTGTTCTTCTTCGTCGTCTTCGACCCGGACGCCGATCTCGATGCCGACCCCGACACCGACCCCGACGCCGATCATCCTGACACCGATCCCGACGCCGATCTCGATGCGGATCCCGCTACTTGGTCATCCTGACCCCGATCCTGATGCCGATCCCGACGCTGATCCCAATGTCGATCCCAACGCCGATCGCCATCCTTTGTGATTAGTCAATCGATCAACTTAGATTGATTAATTGATTTGGTTGATTGATTGATTGATTGATTGATTGGTTGATTGATTGATTGATTGATTGATTGATTGATTGATTGATTGATAATTTGAAAAAAAAAAAAAAATTATGAATCTAAACATATCAAACATAAAGCGGGAATGAAGAAGAAGAAAAAGAAAAAGAAAAAGAAGAAAAACAGACAAAGAAAAAAAAGAAAAAAAATGCATTAAAAACATTATAAAAAAAAAAATCGTTTGGCATTTTCAAAAGTGGCAAGTTGCCATGTGGCACTTGCGCCGTTGGTCGGGATGGCGGAAGATCGGTGTGGGGTCCTGATGGGGGAGGATCGGTTGGGATCAAAGTCCGATGAACTCGTAGGTGTGTGAATTACGACAGGAGGAAGAAGAAGAAGAAGAAGAAGAAAAGAAAGAAGAAAACTTGAAGAAATCAGTCTCTCATTCTGTGTGTCTCTCTCTCAATCAATCAATAAATAAATAATTCAATAAAAAAAAACTTGATTGATCAATCGATCAATCAATCAATCAATAAAAAAAAAAGTTCAAAAAAAGATGTGCCCCAAACCGACGATTGATTGATCAATCAATAAAAAAGTAAAAAAAAAAAGAATTATTGATTGATTGATTGATTGATTGATTGATTGATTGGTTAATTGATTGATTGATTGATTGATTGATTGATTGATTGATTGATTGATTGATTGGTGTGTGTGTGTGTGCATTGCGGGGGGAGTCGACCCCCCGGCAACCAATCAATCAATCGATCAATCAAGCAATCAATCAATCAATCGACGAAAAAAATAGCAAAAAAATAAAATAAAAAATTCGCTTCTCGCACGTGTGTGTGTTTGTGTCGACGCGTGGTCTCTGCTCAGACGAGCAAATGAGAGTGTCGAGGTCCGGGTTGAGGTCCACATCAATCAATCAATCAATCAATCACTCAATTAATCAATCAATCAATTAATCAATGAATCAATGAATTAATCAACCAATCAATCAATTGATTGATTCATTAATTGATTGATTGATTGATTGATTCCCGATCAGCGGAGGCCAGGTTCCGGGTCTGCGATCCATCTACCTTCAGGTATCGCCTTAAGGACCACATGTGCACTTTCCAATACACACGGGTGGATCGGCGTCGGGATCCAGTCGTGCGTATTCCCAGGAGGATCGATAGATCTCTCCCCCTCTCTCTCACTCCCGCTCCCTCTCGCTCAGCACTTTCCACGAGACGGTTGCAGACCGAACACCCAGGGTGCATCAATCTCTCGGGTCGGTCGGGTGGGGTCGGGATTGCGGTCGGTCGGCTCGGGTCAGGTCGGGATTACGGTCGGTCGGCTCAGGTCGGGTCGGGATTGCGGTCGATCGGCTCAGGTCAGGTCGGGATTGTGGTCGCGTCAGGATTGCAGCCGGCTCGGGATCATGGCCCGCTCAGGATCGAGTCTAGATCGAGTCGGGATCGAGTCCTTTCTCTCCCTCCTTGTTCAGATCATTCAAGATAGCTATGGCGCATGGCGCCCAACAATCCCTCCCGACCAAGGAGAAGAAGTAAAGGAAGAAGAAGACCAAGACGAAGAAGAAGAAGAAGAAACGAAGAAGAAGACCTAGAAGAAGAAAAAGAAGAAGAAGAAGAAGAAGAAGAAGAAGAAGAAGAAAAAGAAGAAAAAGAGGACAAAAAATCCACCAAGATGAAGAAGAAGACGAAGAAAAAGAAGAAGACGAAGACGAAGACGAAGACGAAGACGAAGACGACGACGACGAAGAAGAAGAAGAAGAAGAAGAAGAAGGATGATCGAAGTTGAAGAAGGAGTTAAAGAAGAAGAAGCCAGGTTCGCCCGTGCACCACAGTCCGTTGCGGCCCCGCACGTCAACCCTGCATACTCAGCAGCAGCTCGTCGGATCGCCCAACTCACTCGTCTACTCACCTCCAAGCTGACTCGTTAGCGGATCCTCACTGATCGCGCTAACCTCAAAGTTCATAGAGAGAAAACTAATCGTGCTTGCGAAATTTATAGCATGTATGTTCGCGCGAGAGATGCGGGATTATGCCTAGGTGGAAGGAAGGAAGAGAAAGGAACTGCCTACGTCTCCATGGCCAGGCCGCGGCATGGGGGACGTAGCCACTCTCCACACATCGATCCGGTCATGCAGTCGATCGGGCCAATTACAACAGAGGACGAAGTATGAGCGTCAAAAACGAAGAAGGCGGGGAAAGCAGGAAAATCAAGAAGAAGAGAAATACAGTTACAATCGCGCCCGCCAAAAGTTACAGTTACACACAAGATTAAGGGCGCTATCTAGTCAGAGCCCAGTTCCTATCGCGACAAGATGTGCGCAAGCAAGAAGCGCGACGTAGAAACACAAGACAGGCGCAACTATCTGGGTAAGAGATGGAGTTGGGGGAGGAGCTACAACGTGGAGCAGACGAATGGCTGATGACCTTGGAGAAGGGATGCAGGCGGTTACAGGTGATTGTGGGGGAGCTGTCTTTGCGGTCGCATGAGGGGCCAGAGGTCGAAGGGGGAGCGGTTTCTCTGGCTGATTGGTTGAAAGATATGACTGACGACATGCTGGATATTATATGGGAGCTGGAGGAGGGGCCGGATCCCCAGCTTGAAGTCTGCATCGATTGGAGGAGGGCAGATGGCATGATGTCTACCTGCTATGCCCTCTTGACCGAGGGTCGCAACCTGCACTATATGCTTGAGGACCGACTGGACGGCGATAACGAAATGGAGGATGAGGACTGGCAGGAGGATGGAGCGAAGGAAGACAAAGATAACTCTGGCGTCATCATCACCACCACCACCACCACCACCACCACTACCACCACCACCAACAACAACAACAACAACAACAACAACAACAACAACAACGATAACAACAACAACAACAACAACAACGACCACATCGACAACAACAACGACGACAACATCAACAACAACAACTATAACGACAACAACAATAACAACGACGACAACGTCAGCTTCAACAACGATAGCACGGTCGGGGAAGACGGTAAAAGCAACAAGAAGGACAACAACAACAACGATGACCACGGTAACAGCAGGACTGGCAGTAGTGACCGTGCAACCAATTTCATCATCAGAATGGTGAGTGAGATGTCAGGATCTGACATGGACAGTGGGAAGGGGATTGGGGCTGAAACAAAGTGGTGTTTTATTCTTCCCCCCTCCAATCTTGATATGAAATTGCTTCTTGCTGTCCGACTCAGGGAGGGGGTAGGATACTCGAAGGGATTGAAATGGTCCAACCCGCAATTTCAATCAAGAAGGGCAATCAGCCTCTGCTCGGTGTGATGATGGAGATATGGCTGATATGGTTGATAAGGAGGTTTAGGGTTTCCCCTATGGATGACATATTTTAATTGATAAATATAAAATAAACATGTTTTCATGATGGCCCCCAAGGGGAGGTGGGTAGTTTAGGGTTTCGTGCTTCGCTTTGACTTCTTTGTTGGGGGATTGATGAACATGGGTTTTGTTAGGATAATACTTCATGGGCTAGAGCCTGGAGGTTAATTCTTCCCTTACGCAGGGAAGTAATCAATGCCTCGGCTCTTTTATGAGATATAGGTTGACGTGCGAACACACAATAGGGATGTTGGTCCCGATTTCCAGCTCATACACATCACATCTGTGTTAGGGTTTGGGTCTTGGTAGAATGACATATCCTCACATCACTGTATAGGGATGCCGGACCCGATTTCCAGTTGTTACACACAAAAAAAAGGTTAGGGTTCTGTCTCATAGATAAGACATACATAGGCAATTTGAGATATCAACACACCAGGTCCTCTGCATAGGGACGCTGGACCTGATTTTCAGCAGATATATTCACATTATGGTACAGGGACATTAGAACCGATTTCCAGCAGATAGATTCACATCATTGTACAGGGACACTGGACCCGATTTCCAGCAGGTGTAGCTCCCCACCAATAGATGGAGCCTTCGACGCCGGGACCTACTTAACGGGGATGCTCTTATCACCACGTTAAGTAGGTTTCCCGCATACGTAGTTTCAAAAAAAAAAAAAAAAAAAAACCTCCCCGCGATGAAATCTTTGTATTAATTTCGCCCAAACCAGGGAAAAAGGTGCCGCAGGCCCCAAAATCACTTTCGGCATCATATTTGCACCCTGCAAAATAATTTCCCGGCATTTTTACACAGCGGCCTTTCCCGGCCAGCCAGCGTGCAAAAATGTCACCAAAAGTGATTTTGGACCTGCCGCACTTTTTTCTCCGTTTGGGGGGAAATGGATACAAAGGTTTCATCGCGGGGAGGTTTTATGACTTTTCCCAATAATTTTCCTCGGCCCATTAGGGGCTATACCTCCTTCCCTTTCCATCCCGATATAGGCAGTGCTGCCAGTCTGCCACTATCCCTTGCTCCTCTGCGCTTCGCTGCTGCCGGGCCATGCCAGCCTTACGGTCGCATTGCAGGCTGCGAACCCGCGCCTGCGCAGTATGTCAGTTCATTTGTGATTTGGGACTCCTTTCTGCAAATTCCCCGTCATTTGCGATTTGGGACTGACATGCTCACAGGACATCAATGTGGACTCCATTGTTTTTTTGTTTTTGTTTTTTTGGAAAAAAATAGTGAATCCATTATCAAAGCACAAACGTTGAGGCCGGGAATCCTTACAAATAACCCGGTTGGACCTTGGACAATGGGATCTGGTCCCAGTATGACTCGACACTTTGCCAAAAATTCTCAGTCCTGTGTTCCTTTGAGCCCTCTGCTCTTTAAGTACCCTCGATACTAGCCCTAACCTATCAAGTCTATTTCGACCATCTACACAATTCTGACACTCCTTACTCATTCCAAAGCCCAATAGCCACCTTCCGCTAGATCTGCCTGCCTCCTGCGACTAACCGAACCGAGTGCCCTGGTTCATTCTATGCTCCTAGCCTCCTACCTCTAGCCATGAAAATAATTCCAAATTCCATTCTCTGTTAACATTCATTAACCAGTTTGATGTCTTACCGCGACCCCAAGTGTCCAGGAACCATCTGCAGTTACTGTTGTTTCTCTTCCCTTGGCAGCCTTTTCTGTTCCAATCTGCCTTTATGGCCTGATGAAGTCTGGACCGAATCAGCTCCTTCGTCTCTGTGTCAGAAAAGCCCTTGCCCTTGAAAGTTGCCTTATTTCGGCAGTCCCATATGACAGAGCAGATGATCGCTCTGCAGGTCTTATGGTAAAATGCCCAAGAGGGTCCAATTTCTGTCCCAATTCTACCCCCATTCACCACTTCCAGATTCTAGGGATGCTGGGCAGTCCCACCATAGGTGGACTGTAGATTCGTAGGGCCACGTACACCTGCTACATGACATCCGGACTTCCATTCCTTTATTTGCCAACCAGACCGCCGAAGGGGTAACCAGAAGCGAGAGATGCCAAAGGAGAGTTCCGTATTTTTGAGAGGGAAGCATCTTGAGCCGTGTCCAAAGTCTCTTCATTCCCCTGCTTACCCATTCATTGGAGCTCTCCATCGTACTATTCCAACGTTTTGTGGCCACTGCGAAAGGCATTGTGGGCGGTAGTACTAGCCATAGTAGGAGTTATGTCGTTTGCTTCATCTGATGCATCATCATTGTTGTGTCGTTCCTGCCTAAACCCCTCCATCCCCAAGCCACAGGATCTAATTTACAGTCAGCTAGTATTGGGAGTTCTGAGATAAACGTACAGGAGTGGCGGTTCTCTTTGTCCTCGGTTTCCTCCACCCTTACTTGGTCCAATGGTAAATCCATTGGGGGGGGTGTGGCTTGCTCTTCGGAGAGTTGCAGTTGAGGTTGAGACGTACTAGGGGGCTTGGTCCATCCCTGAAAAAGCCTTCTGCCGTCAGAAGAGTATGAGAGTAGTTTTCAATATTTCCTTTCCTCTCCAGGTCTAATTGATGAGTACCAAGTACGTGGTGGGTCCACTCCTTCTAGGGCAAGGAGGTTGTGCCAAGACTCAGGAATTGCTGCGATCAACTCTCCCAATTTCTCCTCCACCAAATGCAAATTGCCTAGTTTCAATCTGATCTCCTCCGTTGTGCTCCATCGTTCTTCCAGGACTTCCCAGATATCAGCACTGCAGACAACCCCCCTTCCAATCCAACTATCCCCAAAAGTACCTACCTCCTTCAAATTTGTTTACTCTGAGCCTCATTCCCGTGGCATTGCAGATTCAGGGATTATCAAATACCGGTTGTCTCGGCACTTCTTGCTTAGTAACTGGATCTACCCATTCGTTCGACTTCACCTTCTTCCAGGTCGCCACCATTCCGGCCCAAAAGGTAGAACAAATTTTCCTATTCACGTACGACTTTAACTGGAGGCAGAGCCACACGTCCTCCTTACAGGCCAATTCCCATTCTTCACCTAGGATGTGTTCTCCCATTAATATCCAGTGTTCACAGCCTTGACTGGTTGACACCTTGAGAAACCACTGTGAGAGCAACAAACAGTTGTTTCTGTGAGGGTCTTTAATGCCTAGCCCTCCCTCTTCCCTAGGCTGCGCTATCAGATCCCAGACCACCTTAGAAATGAAACCTTCCCCCATACTAGCTCGGGGTTTCCATAAGAAGCTTGCTGCCAGACGACGTAGTAGTGCAATCAGTGAGGGGCTCAACAATCTCACCTTTCCTACAAACCACAATAGTGCAAACAGAGAAGCATTAATCACCATAGCCCTCCCAAAAATGGAAAATGTGGGGCTCTTGATTCTAGAGACAACCTTGTTTTGGAGTACTTCCTCCTGTACATCTTTGCATGAGTCCAAAGCTACCATAACTTCCAGGAATCGTTCCACTTCTCCTTTCTCAATCCGTTTCATTCCCCATTCTGCCGCCAAGGACATTGAGTGAGACAAAAAATAAACAGACTTTTTCCCATTGACCGCTACTTTCGAAAACAATGGGTATTCATCTAAAAGGCACTTCAAGACCTCCAAAGCGTCTACCGCGTTTTCACAGATTACAAACAGACCATCTGCAAGTGTCTTTGCCTTGCATTCAATATCCTTTAGTACAAGACCCTGAATTTCATACCTATGTCGGATATTAGACATGATGACCTCTAGTTGCAGAACGAATACCAATGGGGCTAGGGGACATCCCTGCCGAAGTGAGCGGGTGAGATTGAAGGGTTCAGAGAGAAACCCATTTACCATTACGGTTTTCGTCGAGTGAGTGTAGATCGCGACAATCCATTTGCAGAAGTTCTCTCCAAACCCCATTTTTCGCCAGCTTGTCAACACAAAACTCCAATTCACTCGATCAAAGTTTTTTTCCAAATCAAGTAGTAAAATTGAAATGGTATGTCCTCTTTATCAACTATCTCCAATGTCTCAATAGTTGAGAGGATGTTATCAAAGATTGAACGATCGTGTAAAATAGCAGTCTAGTCAGAGCTTACCAACTCTGGTAGGTATTTAGTTAATCTGCATGCAAGGACTTTGGCTAAAATTTTGTAAGATACGTTCAGCCTTAAAATGGGCCTCCACTTCCGGATTTCCTCTCTATCCCCCTACCAACTCTGGTAGTTCCCCTCCCATCAAGATGTTGTTATACATCTCAACCAAAATATATGTCATCTGTGGTCGGAAGAGATCATAGAACTCAACTGGGATTCCGTGTGAGCCTGGAGCCTTACCTCTTGCCATTGCGCTAATGGCTTGTTCCACTTCCGCCTTGGAGTTCGAGAATGGTCTGTCAAGATCCAATCTGCCATGATTCGACAATTTCATCTTTATTAACTCCCATAGGTCGGTTAAGTGCTCTTGGCATGTCTCAATTTCCGCTCTATTACGCCTGGACGTGAGGATGTCACAAAAGTATTGTTCCGCATAGGAACATATTTTCTATGAAGAACAGGCTAGCGGAGCCTGTGGCAAAAATGGGTGCTTAAGAGCTTTCATCTCTTTATGGTAGAAGCGCGGCAGCAGTCTCTGAAATGTTGTTTTTGTCATCCTATCCCCAACCTCTTTTCCTTTAATGGTTAAGATTTCCCTCCATCGGTCTGACGTTTTTTCCTGTAGCTTATCCCATTTTTGCATTCTATTCGAGCGTTCCACACACCACCAGTGACAATATTCTCGTTCGATACACCCCGGAAGCAACGAGATGGCAGCGAAACATGGAACTGCTCGGGATTCGGGTACTCTCGGAAAAAGACAAGTGGATTGCGTTCCAGCCAAAAACCCCCGTGACATAACTCCCATTCGACCCCGTGGAATGCCATGGGCTCCTCCACGTAAATCCAGAACGGGGGAGAATCGGAAGTTGTCCTCCTTAACAGTGAAGGCCACATACCGTTTGCTGCGACCGAAGGTGAACATAAAAGAAACCGTGAAAGATCGGTGGAGGTCTGACGTGAATGTAGGAACGGATGCAATCCGCCCCATCCGATGACCG